CCACACTGTCCTTTGTAAACTAGATTCAGGAGCGGCATGCTATCATTTCCACTGTATTCCACTGGTCACACAGATCAACCCTGATTCAGTGTGGAAGGAAATCATGCAAAGGCATGTGCACCAGAAAGTGGGGATCGTGGGGGGCATCTTGCAGATTGACTATAACACCTGCTTTATGGATTTCCAGCTTTTATAGTGACTGATAATATAAGACACAAGTGTTTTAGTTACTGTAAAATGTATAAAAGTAAATTTAAAACTGTTGTGATGTGACCCAAAAAAGGATAAGCCGAGCAGAGAGTAGGGTTGGTGCCTCCATAGTCTCATTATACACACTTGGACAGGGGCTGGCAAACTATGGCCTTGGGCAAATTGGTCTCACCATCTGTTTTGGTAAATCAAGTTCCTTTGTAAGAAAGCCAAACAATAATTTACATATGTTCCGTGTCTTAAATTGCACTGCAATAGTAGAGTTGAGTAGTTTCAACAGAGACTGGCTCACAAAGTTCAGAACATTTACTATCCATTTCTTTAGTGTGTATTTCAACCCATGCATTATGATGTAAAGTGAAAACATTCAAAAGGTCCAAAATTATGGAAATGAAAAGGGGGGCTACATGTTCCAAATATTTGCAAGTTTTTCTAATTTAAGAAATCATAAAACCTCAATGATCTTAGAAGAGGAAACTGAGTTTCAGATGAGAATGCAGCCTGGACAAGACCCTGGTTCCAACCTCCTGGGACCACGAATAAAGGAAACAACTAACCCATGCCCAGTCCTGATCCATAGATAATATGAGATTATAAACATGGGTTGTTTTAAGTTTCTAAAGTACTGCTAATTTGTTATGCACCAATATATAACATGTATTATATACATCAGGGTAATAACAGGAAAAAATTCAAAAGGTATTAGCTTTACAACATATCAATCATATTCCCCAAACTGTCTTCCATGTCCCCATGGCAATATTGTGGCTACCGATTTGTACTTCCTCCCCCATTTTCACCCCCCTCCCACCTAGCAATCATCAGTTTTTCCTCTATATCTCTGAGACTATTTCTGTTTAGTTTGCTCGTTGATTCAGTTTTTTAAATTCCACATATAAGTGAGATCATATGGTATTTGTCTTTCTCCGACTGACTTATTTCACTTAACATAATAGTCTCCAGGCCCATTCATATTGTTGCAAATGGTACGATTTCATTCTTCTTTATAGCGGAGTAATACTCCATTGTATAAATGTACCACAGTTTCTAAATCCAGTTGTCTACCGATGGGCATCTTGGTTGTTTCCAAGTCTTTGCTATTGTGAATAGCACTGCAATGAACATAGGGGTGCATATATTATTTTCAATTAGCATTTTGGATTTCTCTGGGTAGATACCTAACAGTGGAATCACTGGGTCATAAAAGAGTTCCACTTTCAGTTTTTTTTGAGATACCTCCATACTGATTTCCATAATGGCTACACCAATCTGCAATCCTACCAACAGTGCAGTGCATGAGGGTCCCCTTTTTTTCACATCCTTGCCAGCAATTGTTTGTTGATTTATTGATTATAGTCATTCTGACTGGAGTGAGGTGGTATTTCATTGTGGTTTTTATTTGCATTTCTCTAATGACTAGTGAGGTTGAGCATTTTTTCATATGCTTGTTGGCCGTGTTGGCCATCTGTATGTCCTCTTTAGAGAAATGTCTGTTTATGGCCTCTGCCCATTTGTTAATTGGGTTGTTTGGTTTTTTGGTGTTGAGTTAAATGAGGCTGTCAGATGAGCACTTTTTTTAATAAGGAGACCACTTCGTGAAAGGTATAGATGCCTGGCCACTGTGCTGTAACCTGGAGCTCAAGCTGAATAATAGTGAATGTCATCTATCACTTAATATATATGTAGTCACAGGATGTGGAGTACAGCATAGGGAATAGAGTCAATGGAATTGTAACAGCTATTTATGATGTTCAGAGGGGTAGTAGATTAGGGGAGGAGGGTTATCAATTGTGACAATGTAAATATATAACTACTACATTGTTTTGTACACCTGAAACTAATAAAAAATAATAAAAGTATAAGTAACTAATGGCAATATTATTTTGTTATGTTGGGTGTTCCTTGAACATTTCCTTACAATTTACATTCAACACTGAGATAATCGCTCAAGTAGACACTTCCATGTGCATTAGCCCATTTCACAGCAAAAAACAAAGAGCAAAAGAAGAAAATTAACGTGTCTTTCTCCAGATAGTATATGAGAAATCTCATTTTAGAGGGAAAATTTTTGTTCTTTGGTAGAAAGACCTTTAAATAAAAGAATCCTTTCCCACCCTAAAGGCTACTATTATATTTTCAGGGTGAAGAAAAGCAGAATGCAGCTAAGAGTGGGAGGAAGACTCAGCAAAATGAATGGGTCAGATGATCCCGCACTGAGTGTGACCAACATGATCAGACCATGCTGTGAGAAAGACACTCTGCTGTGGGTGACCATATCCTCCATTCAACACAGGGCTTTACAGCATAATTCCCTGAAATGATGCGGGAGCTTGAAAAAACCTGAGTTGTAATTAGGAGGCAACGGGAATTGTCTTCTCTCATGGGGGACAATTTTGACTGGATTATTCTCTGAAATCACACATCATCCACCATGTTTTCACCTTCTGTTTACTCATTGCTCTTGCAACTGTAATGAATGTTTATGAGTTCTCAGAAAATAAATAGATTTGGCCCTGGGCTCTTCAAGGGTGATGATGTGAAAAGTGATCATATGAACCTATGCTTGGGTTTGGCTAAATGAAAATATTTGAGATTCAACCTGAACAAATGTTATGAAAATGGACCACCCTTGGTTCATTACAGAGATAATAGCTCTAAGCAGGTAAAAAGCAAATAAAACAAACAATAATCAAAAATGAAATTGCCTAATGGGAGGAAATCAAGCAGATGGGATAGTTGGGACAGAAAACTATTCATTTCCATTATCAGCATACGTATACTGTTTGTTTGTTTGTTTGTTTGTTTGTTTGTTTGTTTGTTTTTATTAGTTTCAAGTGTACAAAACAATGTAATAGTTATACATTTACTCCCCTCACAAAGTGATTTCCTCCCTGCCCCAATCCACTACCCCTCTGACATCATATCTAGCTGTTACAATTCCATTAACTCTATTCCCTATGCTGCACTCCACATCCTGTGACAATATATATTAAATTATAGTTGACATTCATTATTATTCAGCTTCAGGTGTACAGTGGTCAGGAATCTACACTGTCCATGAAGTGGTCTTCCTAATAAGACAAGTGTCTCTCTGATACCCCACAAAATCTTTACAACATTTTGATTATATTCCCCAAACTGTGTTTCATATCTCCATGGAAATCTTGTGGTTACTGATTTGTGCTTTCTAATTCCTTTACCTTCTCCCTCATCCCCACCCCCCTCCAAACTAGCAACCCTCAGTTTTTCTATTATCTCTGAGACTCTTTCTGATTAGTTTGTTCATTTATTCTATTCTTCAGATTCCACATATTACCTATACTATTTTTAAATTTGTAATTAAAAATATATTATTGTGAAATCACATGGACAATAAAAAACATATGAAATATCATCTGAGTACGATGCATGTTCTCTTAGACCAAGTTAAAAATATTCAGAAGACATTATATTCCATCCTTTATTTTTCATTATATAACTTTAGTATGTTTTCCTAAGTCAACCTTTGTACAAGAAGGTGAAGAGTTCAGATTATATTTATTGTAGTCCTCTTATATTTATATTTTGAGAAATAAAAAGGAAGAGGTCTTTTCTTCTTCCTGGATGTTTATATATATTAAATATTAACTTGGATACTTAATTATTGTCATTTAATTGAAATATAAAACTAGAAAGCAAACATAGGTGTCAAAATAAATTTTTTAAGGCATCTGAACAAAAGTTAAAAAAAGAGAATGGGCTTTTGATATCTGTGGGGTCAGGAAAATCCCATCCAAGTCACAGGCATCAGAACTCATTGTGTCTTAGTCCTTCTTTGATACACTCAGAAACACCTCAGTAAAATGGATTGCTCCCTCTAGCACAAAAAAAGGGAGTTGTTCATATTTTACACATAACTGTTAGGAAAAATTTTCTCAGATTACTTAGCGATTAAGATCTTCAGTGTTCTCATAAGTGACTTTTTTGCTGATGGATAAGCATAAGGCAAGAAACATCTGTGGAGTAAAGAAATAGCTATTGCTGGGCCAGCCAAGTAGCACGTTGGTTAGGAGTTGGCTTGGGACCCAGCTCTGAGCAGCAGGGCCCAGGTTCAGATCCCATATGAGGGCCAGTGATGCTGCGCCCTCTACAACTAAGATGGTGAACAACAGCTCAACCTGGACCTGGGCTGATGTGAGTCGCTGGTGATGCTGTAGGCTGCAATGGGGCTGACCAACAATGGACGTGAGCTTTCATGAGCTGCGGTGAGCCGCCGTGAGCAGCCGCCAAATGGCCAGCGAGCAACTGCCTCACCCAGGAAGAGTGCAATGATCACAATACCAACATGGACCAGTGAAGCGATATCATCCACAATTAGACTGAAGAACAAAAGGAGAGCAACCTGTCTGTTCCCTTTCCCTGATTCCCTAACGCTGTTCCCCTCCCTCAATTCCCCAATAAAAAAAATCTCTAAAAAAATAATAATTAAAAAAAAAGAAAAAGAAATAATCATTGTAAATTTATGTGACCAAGTCTTGGTCCCTTCACATTTGCAAATCTCAAAGCAGCCACACAAGAACCACATATTTGGCCAAAGACTTATGATTGTTCTGCAGAACTCAGGAGAATCAAGAGAAGACACACATGTGCTCCCCTCTGAGGCTGAATGACACACAAGGAAAATGTCCTATGGCACTTGTAGCTCAAAATCAAAACATACAGATGGATAAATATCTAGAAAGAACTAACTTCCAGAAAAGTAAAGTAGAGATGGTATTTTATAACATACACAGGACTGAAATGATGTTGATTTGTATTTTATTATGTAAATTTTTAAAATTTTGTAGAGAAAATTTACAACAATGTATATGGAAAAATATATTGCATGCAATATTGAGTACATGCATTACATCACAGTATTCATGAAATTATTCATCTTGATGCTTTAGATTTTACCTATAGATGCACAATTTCATCAACCTGAAAACATAAGGTTTCAAATATATGAAACAATTGTATAATAAGAAACAATTTGAAACATTTCACATATCTTAGAAGTAGATAATTAGCAATAATATAAGAGGTACAGTTACCATACTTAGTAATACTGGACCTTGTTGCCCACCCCTTCTGCCCTAAGAAACACCTAAATAAGCTGCTTCTTACAGATATAACGATTTTTTCTTTCACAGGGTTCATCCAGAATATTTCTGCTTGTTTTATACATTATGCAGTTCTGTGTATTTTTGGTTTGAGATAATGAAAATCTGTAATGAAAAATAAAATATTACCATATGATAAAAGGAATAGAAAATGTTCAGGGATGGTGTTTTTTATTAAATGAGAGAACTTTTTAAAGCATTTGAATAAGATATTAACACACTGAGTCATTGCATCTTTTTCATTCAATAGCCACAGTTTTCACGATATTACAATATTACAAAATTGATTTATTGCCTCAGTAATCAATAGCACTAGGTAAGGGAGTTTTTTGTTCTTGCCATTGTTATTAATGGTTTTGATATATTATAAACTTTGCCACTATTTTGTTTAAAGATGTATTGACTAATGTAGCCTAGGAAAAGAAATCAGAGCATAACATTTTCATTGTATGATGTTGCAAATACCATGTTTATAAATGAACATGAGGTTCTAAGATTACAAATATGCAGAAGCCCAGCATATTTGAAACATGAGGATGCAGAGAATATTGGTCTCCCCAGAATAAAGGAAATAATGGCTATCCTGTTTTCCCGGGACAGCTTCTGAGTGTGAGCCTCGGTACATACACAGCACATCCAAGTGTGTGTACCAAGGAAGAAAGAAACAAAAAAGCTTTTTTGTGGTCACAAGTACACTAACCACATGTCACTTGAGCATAAACTTGGATGTTTTAGGTAGAACTAAAATTGTTACTGTCTTGTATCTGTTCTATTACCTGATTTCTCAGGCTCCAAATAGGTTATATTAGCTACATATTCACGGATGTTACATTCTTTGGTCAAACCTAAGGATAAGCTCATGAAAAGGCCTTGAGTGGGTGAAACTTACAGATCTGGAGACGGAAGAGAGCCATCCCCCCACAACCATGTACCACGTTCTTCACTGTAAGACAGTCCAATCCAGAAAAAAAATTTAATGCGGTTCATGAAACTCTGATGGGAAATAGAGACAAACATATTAACTTAATTGGAATCTACTCTGGGGATAATATACTTTCCAGAAAGTCAGTGCCCAGCATCAGATCCAGAATTTAAATCACTTAAACTGAAATCCTTTTTTATGTCTAGCTTTGGAGGTATAGTCACATGTCTCATATTCACTCACTACAAGGCCCATTCATTTAAGGAAACAAAATATCACAAAATCTCATTCTTAAAGGAACGAAAAATATTATAAAGGGGTTAAATTTTCATAGAACAATTCCTTCACAGATACTGACAATCAAATTTGATCCCAAATCATCAATATCTTATCAGATAAAATTCTTGGATATACCTACTCAACCTACACTCAGCACAGGTTCTTCATGCCCTTGGAGAAATCTTTCACTCTTTCTTAAGAATAGGGTAATTATTATGATCTTGTTGTTCATGCTTGTTGCACATTATATGCAACAATGATTATAAAAGTTGTATAATTACCAAATAAATTATGAATTGCACTAAAGATCAAAACATTAAAAAGTTGTTTGGCTGGTTATTTGAATGAAATAATGACCCATTATTTCTTCTTTGATTTCTCTAAAATGTCTCCTGACTTTATCTGGCATCTATCTTGAGATTTTTTTTCCTATAATGTAAATATTTGAGAAATTTTATGTAGGTTTTATATTGAGTGTTTTAAGGGATAAGAAATTAGCAAGTCATTATTAATTCAAATATAACCATCCAGTTATGATCTGATTAGAGATTTCAAAGTATTCATCTTACTTAGACAGTATATTTTTCCTAGGTCAAAGGAAGTGTAAGATAACACACTTAAATACACACCAATTCGTCTTTGTTTTGCAAGTGAAGCAGACTGGAATTTTGAGAGGCACAGAAATCCCTGCTTTCTGCCCAAGTTTTCATTTCATTAGAAATGAAGTAACAGTTGCACTGGTACCCAATCCACTTTTCTTGACAAGAACAGCAGTCAGAGCCTAAGAGAAAACATAAAACATGAGTGATGACATTGGAGATCCAATTTTTTTTATTAAATGTATTGAGGTGACATTGGTTAGTAAAATCATATAGCTTTCAAGTATACAGTTCTATAATACATCATCTATATATTGCATTGTGTGCTCATCACCCAGAGTCAGATCTCCTTCCATCAACTTATATTTGTCCCCTTTACCCTCTTCTACCATCCTCCCTCCTCACTTACCCTCTGGTAACCACTAAACCGTTGTCTGTGTCTCTGAGTTTTTGCTTGTTTGTTTGTCTTGTTTATTGCTTTAAGTTTTATATCCCACAAATGAGTGAAGTCATATAGAGTTCTCGACTTTTTCTGCCTGACTTATTTTGATTGGCATGATAATCTCATGATCCTTCATTACGAGGCTCAATGTTTTCACTATTATTTACTCATCCTAAAATCATTTGTTATTTGTTTCCACAAATATTCTTTGAGACTCTACTACATACACCAAAGTTCAGAGGATATTTATGTGACTGAGTCAGACAAGACCCTTTTTCCTCGTGGAGATTATAACTTCCAATCATTTATTACTTATATTTAATGTTAATTAGGGTATACACACAAGACACTTGTTATGTTAAAACATCTTTTAGAAGAGTGTAGGACGGGGGCGGGGGTGGTAGTTAGAAGAATTTTTCTTTTGAGGAGTGACCCAAAGTTAAGCTCGGGTGTGTAATCATGAGTAAATTAAAGGAAGGGGATACTTTTAAAAAGTAAACATTTTAGCACACTCCCTGAGTCAGAAAAGAGTGTGGTATCTTGGGAGAAATTTGGTATATATTTTGAATATTTTATTTTCAAAATGAACATAAATAAAACAATTAGTTTGAAGTCCAGTCATACAGTTACTAGTGATAGCGCCTTAAACATGTACTATTCTCAGTTTAGCTACTCACATGTTTGGCAAATGAATGGTGCTGAAGTTGTAGAGAGAATGGTGGTTACCAGTGTCTGGACGGTGGGGGAAATGAAATGAAATGTCTGCAAAAGGATGCAAACTTCCACTTAGAAGAGTAATAAGTTCTGAGGATCTACTGTATAACAGTGTGTTAGAGCTAACTATATTGTGTTATATACTTGTAAATTGCTAAATAGATGTTAAATCTTCTCACAACATAAAAGAAATGGTTATTATTTGACATGATGGAGCTATTAGGTCGTGCTACCATGGTATCATATTAAAATATATAACTATGTCAAATGAACACAGTGTATACCTTAAACTTACACAATGTTATACATCAATTATATCTCAATGAAGCTGGAAAAACACTAAGAAAACCACAAATATAAGTAAATTCTATAGGATCACAGAAGATCATAAGACAACTTGCAGAACATTAAAAAAAAACACATTTAAAAAATTGGACTTTGACCTGGCTTACACTGGTTAAGCGGGGTCAGAATTGCAGAAATCTCTTGAAAATGGGCAGAGGACCTCAATAGACACTTCTCCCAAGAAGACATACAGCCAACACATAGATGAAAAATGCTAAACCTCACTAACTTAAGGAAATGCAAATCAAAAACAACGAAAAACAACCTCACACCTGTTAAAATGGCTATTATCGACCAGACAAGTAATTACTAAAGTTGGAGAGGTTGTGGAGGAAAAGGAACCCTTACACACTGCTGTGGAAATGTAAATTGGTACAGCCTATTGAAAATAGTATAGAGGTACTTCCAAAAATCAAGAATAGAAATACCATATGACCCAGCAATCCCTCTTCTGGGCTTCTGGGCAGCTACCCAAAATATCTGAAAACACTTATCCATAAAGATATGTGTACCTCTATGTCCATTGCAGTTTTATTCGTGGTGGCTAAAACATGGAAACAACCAAAGCGTCCTTTAATAGATGATTAGATAAAGAAGATGTGGCACAAATACACAATGGAATATTACTACTCAGCCATGAGGAAGGATGAAATACCACCATTTGACATAACATGGATGGATTTTGAGATTATCATGCCAAGCAAAAAAAGTCAGACAGAAAAAGTCAAGAATCATCTGACCTCTCATATGTGGCATTAAAACTGAAAACAACAAAGGAAGAAGACAAACAAAGAAACAAAAACTCATAGACACAAACAACAGTTTGGTGGTTAGCAAAGGGTAAGGGGGTGAGGATGAGGTTAAAGAGGGTAGAGGGGGTTTAATCCATAGTGATGAAAGGAAATTTGACTTTGGGAAGTGCACACACGATGCAATACATAGATGATGTATTATAGAATTGTACACTTGAATCCTAGATAATTTTATTAACTAACATTAACCAAATAAATTTAATTGAAATATTACAAATAAATTACAGAAAGTTCTGGACTATATTTTGAATTATGGAATAAATAGAAGGAAAACTACAGAGATATAAAAGTATGAGTTATGAGCAGTTGTGGAATGGTAATTAGGATGAGCAGAAATATTTGTTGTAATTTATTTTTCAATTGTTACTTAAACATAAGTAGTCATATAGGAAAAGTATGTCATTTCAGGTTATCTTACCCTTATTAATTAAACAAATAAATGATGCACATCAATGTAGTTTAATTCTTACATTATAAAACCATGAAATGAGACTATCCTACAATTAGTAGTTAAACTTGTATTACTATGTGTAATGGTCCAAGAAACTTCTGTGTGAAGAAAACAAGAAACTGTCTATTTCATCCTCTACAAACACTAAGGTTTTCAGAAGTATGGAACCTACCTTCCTGGGCTTCTGTGGTTCCTCCTGGTGATGATGTTTGCTGAATACTTTGTTTATGAAATGCTACAGGAAATGATTAGAAATACTTAATATATACAGGCTTATGGGATAACAAATTATTACAAATTAGTACATTTAAACCTTTTTTACTAAATGTTTTGATTTTAATATAGACTTACTTATAAAAACTTACAATTTTTCAACAATATTCCCAAAGTAGCCATCAACACAAGGCACGTTACTGCTAAGATTCCAGAAATCAACCTCCATGGAGTGGTCTGAAGAGCTGTAGAGAAAGAGAGGTTGGCTGATGACTTAAAGAGCAAACCCAGGAGCTGAAGTTGTAAAAGCAGAAACCTGGAGGAGAGAATTTAAAAAGTTCTTTGATTTGACAACCCAATCATCTTTCCAATGAAACATTGGAAAACGAAGACATTTCATTCAGAACTCCACCCAACACCAAAATTATTATGACATATACTTAATTTTATGACTCGGGTGGACATACCTGCCATGAGAAATGCTGGTTCAGTGTCGATACCGGTAAGACACGATGTGTGCTTGTTCAAGAAGCAAGTTGTTGGATCACAAAATAGAGCTGGAGGATAAGAATCTATGTTATGTATGTAGAAATTTAAAAGAAAATGAAAAGGACAATTGTATATTTAAGTGGTGTTCTTCAATCAAGCATTGGTGAGACACGATGTACAGTTGTACAACAAGCAGTAAAATCACTAGCTTCTAAAACGTTTCAAACCACAACACAGGAAATTCTCAGTGCACATGTGTAATGTGAATTCTTTGACTATCAGAGAAGAAGGTGAGAGAAGTTTGCTTTTCTTGTTATCTTTGAATACCTAACCTCTTTAGAAAGTATTTGAGATAGAGAATAAAAGATATGGAAACATAAGTTAAGTTTGCTAGTACAATAAACTTCCACAAAGTATTTTACTCTTTTAATAATGAAAACATTTACAATTTACCTTGTACAATACACAGATTAAATCACTTGGCATATATTAGCTCATTTATTTCTGAGAATGGCTTGATAATAAAGATACATAAATATACTCATTTTAATGAGAAAAGTAAGGCAGACCTGCACACTTGACTAACGTCACTAACTTTGAAACCCAGTCAGGGTTTTTTTGAGTGTTGCTAGTTGGGAGGGGGTGGGGATGAAGGAGAAGGGGAAGGGACGAGACAATACAAATTGGTAACTACAATATGGCCTCAGGGATAGAAAAGACAGTCTGGGGAATATAATCAATAATGTTGTAAATATCTTTTAGGGGACCAGATGGACTCATGTCTTGTTAGGGAGACCACTTCATAGTTGGTGTAGAGGCCTGACCACTGCACTGTATTTCTAAAGCTGATGTTGAATAATAATGTATGTCAACTATAATTATATATACATATAGTCACGGGATGTGGAGTAGAGTGTGGGAATGGAGTCAATGGAATTATACTAGATTAGCATGATATCGGAGGTGGGAGGGCAGTAGGTGGCAGAAGGGGGTTGTTTCTGTGTGAAAGGTGAAAAAGATAACTATTGCATTGTTCTGTACACCTGAAACTAACAATAAAAAAAATAATGTGAGATTAAAAATACACTGAATGAAATTGACAATAAATTAAATAATGCATAACAACAACAACAAAAAAACCCAGTCAGCCTTTCTCCAGAACACACATGCCGTACATTTCAAATCACAGCTATTCCTCTGTGTGTCACTGTGTGTTTTTAATTTTCATTTCTTTTTTTCTTTTAAGCAAAGAGTGGTTGGTATTTCCATCTCTCATTCTATGATTCTGACACTGACTCATTAACCAGCTATGAAAGGCAAAGGTCAAAAAAGTAGAACCAGAGTGACTCCCCATTACTGTTCCATGAACACACGCGCGTGCGCGCACACACACACACACACACACACACACATATACACACACACACACACACACACCTGTGTTCTACACCTGCCTCAGCTGGTCTAAGCCCTTCAGCACCTCTGTACTCTCCCGGTTCTGTTCCCTGAAATCTTTAAACATGACCACAGTTGCCCTACTGTACTTATTTGTACTAATATTTTAAGTGTTATTTATTTATCATGTTTTATATTTCAGATAATATACTGATAGTTGAATTTACAAGGTTTTTTCCTCTAGTGAGAACCTTACCAGGGGGAATTAAAATGTGGCACAGATGGGCAGAATGAGAACCTTGAGAGTAGGGGCCTTGCTCTATGTTTAAGTATCTGGAAATACTAATCTACCATTCACTCCATATAAAGCAGACTTCCTAGCTTTTTTTTGTTTATATGATTTACATTTAACTAATACAATATCATCATAGATGAAACTTATTGTGAAAGATAAGCTTTTCAACCGAAAAAAAAATAGAATAAAAGGAAAAGAAAAACAAGAACTGTGATTGGATATCTCAGTTTCCCTAGAGTTCAAAGGTTCTATCCTTTTAACTTGCATTGTGTGAATAAAGGTGCTTTCTCTGAACCACCAAAATGGATAAAATTTAAATTCTTATCCAATAATTCAAACATGAAAATTCTTCATGCATATTTTATGAAAATCCAAGTGGAGAGAGATAATGTATAACTGATCCTTTGCCTGCTTGAAGTCTATTCCTTTATAGTTTTAATGTTGGACAAAGCTGAACTAGCAAAAACTGCCTAATTTGGATCATTTTTGCCCATGTAACATTGCCTTAACTGAATAGAAGTTTAAGATGCTGCTTTCAGCTTCAGTTTTGAAATTATACATTTTTGTGAAAGAATATATAGTAGGGTTATTATTGCACTTCCAGTACTAACAGACCACCTTTATTTGGAAGTTACTGTAAGTTTTCAGAACCATATTTGATGAGACTTAAATCAACCATTGCCTTTAATTTTTCATCTTCACTCACTGACTCAGAAGTAAATTCTACCAAAAATGTGTTCGATTCAAAACCTCTAGTCTCAGGCTAGCTGAGTGGCTCAGTTGGTAGGAACGCAAACTCTGAACAACAGGGCTGCTGGTTCTATTCCCACATGCATCAGTAAGCTGCGCCCTCTACAGCTAAGATTGTGAACAACAGCTCCACCTGGAGCTGGGCTGCGGTGAGTAGCCGGCGATGGGATAGGCTGCAGTGGGCTGCCACGAGCTACTGTGAGTGTCCAGCAGCCGGCCAGAGCTGCAGTGAGCTGCCGTGAGCCTCCATGAATGGTCATCCAATGGCCGGCAAACGATCTGCCTCAGCTGGAAAGAGCACAATGATCATAACACCAACATGGGCCAGTGAAGCAGCATCTTCCACAACTAGACTGAAGAACAAAAGGACAGCAGCTTGCCTGTTCCCCTTCCCCAGTTCCCCAACACTGTTGCTCCCCTCCAGTTCCCCAATAAAATCTTTAAAAAAAACCCAAAAACCTCTAGTCTCAAGGCACAAAGAAGATAAATGAACACCCTAATGTAAATACTCACACATAACATTAAAAAACAAACAAACAAAAAACAAAAATGAAATTGCCTCATGGGAGGAAATCAGGGAGATGGGATAGTTGGGACAGAACACTATTCATTTCCATTACCAGCTTACCTATACTATTTTTAAATTTGCAATTAAAAATATATTATTGTGAAATCAGATGGACGATAAAAAAACATATGGAATATCCATTAAGTACAATGCATGTTCCCCTAAACCAAGTTAAAAATGTTCACAAGATGTTATATCCCATCGATTATTTTTCGTAATACAACTTTAGTGCATTTTTTTAAGTCAATCTTCATACAAGGACGTGAAGAGTTCAGACTGTAATCCTATAATATTTATGTTTTGAGAAAATAAAAAATAAGAGGTCTTTCCTTCTTCCTCGATCTTTATATATTAAATATTAATTTGGATTCTTAATTATTATGATTTAATTGAAATATAAAACTAGAAAGCAAACACAGATGTCAATATACATTTTTTAAGATGTGTAAACAACAGTTAAAAAAAGAGAATAGGCTTTTGATAGCTGTGAGGTCAGAAATATCCCATCTAGGTCACAAGCATCAGAACTCATTGTGTTCCCAGCTCTTCTTTGGTAAACTAAAAAAACAGTTGTTCATATTTTACACATAACTTTTAGGAAAAACTTTCTTGGATAATTAATGATTGAGATCTTCAATGCACACGTAAATGATAAGCATAAGGCAAGAAACATCTGTGGAGTAAAGAAATAGCTATTGTAAATTTATGTAATCAGGGTGTGTGTCCCTTTACCTTTGCAAATTTCAAAGCAGTCTCACAGAAACCACGTATTTGGCAAAAGACTTATGATTGTGCTGCAGAACTCAGGAGCATCAAGAGAACAAACACATGTGCTCCCCTCTGAGGCTGAATGACACACGTGAGGAAACAGTCCTATGGCACTTTTAGCTCTAAATTAAAACATGTAGATGGATAAATACCCAGAAAGAACTAACTTCCAGAAAAGTGAGGTAGAGATGGTCCTTTATAACATACACAAGATGAAATGATGTTGATATGTACTTTATTATGTAAATTTTTAAATTTCTGTAGAGAAAATTTACAACAGTGTATATGGAAAAATATATTGCATGCAATATTGAGCACGTATTAAATAAAAATATTCATGAAATTATTTATCTTTATACTTTATAATTTTACCTTAAAACACAGGGTTTCAAATATATGGAACAATTGTATAATAGGAAACTTTCTGAAAGATTTCAAACATCCTAGAAGTAGATAACTAATAATATAAAAGATAAACTTACCATTCTTAGTATGACTGCACCTTGTTGCCACCCCTTATGCCCTAAGAAACACCTAAATAAGCTGGCTCTTATTTATCTTACAGATATAACGATTTTTAGTTTCACAAGGTTCATCCAGAACAATTCTTCTGCTGTATATTATTCAATTCTGTGTATTTATGTTTTGAGAAGCTAAAAATCTGTAAGGAAAAATAAAATATTAACGTATAATAAAAAGGAAAAGAGAATGTTCAGGAATGGTGTTTTTATTCAATGAGAGAACTTTTTAAAGTATTTGAATAGATATTAACATATTGAGTCATTGCATCTTTTTCATTCAATAGCGACAGTGTTCAGGATATTGCAATATTATAAAATTAATTTATTTCCTCAATAGCATTGAGTTCAGGGAGTTTTTTGTTCTTGCCATTGTTATTAATGGTTTTAATATATAATAAACTTTGCCAGTATTTTGTTAAAAAAGTATTGACTAATTAATCTTGGAAAAGAAATCAGAGCATAAAATTTTCATTGTATGATGCTGCAAATACCATGTTTATAAATGAATAAGAGAGTCTAAGATTACAAATATACAGAAACCCAGAATATTTGAAACATGAAGATGCTGAGAATATTGAGCTCCCCTAGATAAACAATATAATGGCTATCCTGTTTTCCCAGGACAGCTTCTGTGCGTGAGCATCGGTACATGCACAGCACATCCAAGTGTGTGTACCAAGGAAGAAAGAAGAAGTCAAAAGCTCTTTTATGGTCACAAGTACACCAATTTCATGTCACTTGAGCATAAACTTGGATGTTCTAGATGGAGCTAAAATTGTTACTGTCTTGTATCTATTCTCTTTTCTGTATTCTCAGGTTCCAGAGAGGTTGTTTTAGCTACAGTATCCCCGGATGTTACGTTCTTTGGTCAGGCCTAAGGATAAACTCATAGAAAGACCTTGAATGGGAGACGTTTACAGATCTGGGGAGCGAGGAGAGCC